TACTAAACAGTGGAGCACAAAGTGATTCAAACTGATTCGATTAAATATCTTAGATAAATTAAACAAAATGGAAATTTTTAAATCTTCAAGAAAATTTCCTGTTGGGTGACTAATCAATGAAATGACAGTGTCGGTCTTACTATTGTTTTAATCAGGACTTTTAAGTGACTCAAGTCTGTGTCTCTTGTGGTTTAACAGTCGCTGAATGAAAAGACAGACAAAGCATCGATGGACAAACTGACTCACAGATTATATCCGTCACTGCCAAACATCGACAGGTGGGGCAGATCTACGTCACAGGTTTCTGTCATGATTAACTGTCTTGGTGTTATTGGTAAAACTAAATGAACGCCTGCCCTGTGTTTTCAGTTATGACCGGTGTGTTGGCGAGAAGCTTCCTGCAGCAGCTGATCTTCGTCCTGAGAGGCTGCAGGAGGACACACAGGTAAAAACTGACAAACGCAACAGTGGAATACACGAGTGAGAAAACTTAATTTTATTCTGGAATGATTCCCTGACCACAAGGAAATGACCGTGTTCTCTGTGTTACTGGAAACTGTCCATAGCAAAACTTTCCAAAGTGTGTAAAAGGAAGTCGGTGGATATCAGTGGTGTTGCACAGCTGGCTGCTGATAGGCTCAGTGTGTGCCACATCTAAAGAGTTCCTCCTTTTCCCCTCCAGCTGGAAGCGTGCGGTGCGGATAGCGACCGCAGACTGAAAGCACAGATTCTGATCTTGGTGGAGCAGAGGAGAGAGGTGAGAAGATTTTACAACTCAGATTTATCATCGCCTCAGACGACACACTTCAGTTACTAATGAGACCAATGTTCTGTTTTTCTCAGCTCATTTCTATTAACGACAAATGGGCAAAAGAATATCAGACCATGGTGCGGTTCTACAGAGAGAAGGTAAGAAAAGGATGAAGTCACAGTCTCTCGTTTCCTCAGCGAAGGAGTTAGATTGGTTTTATACTATTTAACCGGTTGAACTGGCACGTGTCACATTTCCTGGTGCTGTCGTTAGGATCAGGTGCTTTTTTGAGATTTTGGTCATTTCTTAGAGAATAATTCACGGATCTTGATTCATGACGTATTTAAGGGTCTGATATTTAAGAGTGTTGGTAATTTGGTGAAGATCAAGGGAGTTTAAGTGTGGTTCATCAGAAGGGGACTGTTGGGCCTTGGCGGAGGTTTGCGCTCTCGGTGTCATTGGAGTTGTTTGTGTTGTGTTTAATTTCTTTCCTGCTTGTTGTATTAAAACTGTGTGCTTTTCTTTACCCGACACTCAGGTCCGACATTTAAAACCATTGCTGCAACAAAACCACAGTCACTTTGAAGAAGGCATGTGTGAGGAAGGAGAGAAACACGTCAATTTATGTAAAAAACTAAAACTCAAGACGCCCGATGACAACGACAAGAAATCGGTAAGCGCACCGAACACATTTCAAGGATTTCAATGAGACTAAACCTGTCAGTGTGTGAATTTGATCCTCATGGAAAATGTCTCATAGACGTGCGACGATGGTGACGTCAACTCTGAGCTGCTGAAAGTGGAAAAGGAGGCGCGTGAGCTGCGAGGGCAGAACAGCACGCTGACCAGAAGGGGGCAGCATCAGCACGAGGAGATCAAGCGATTAAATAAGGTGAGGAACGAGACTGACTGAGAGTTTGAACCCTGCAGCAACAGCAGTGGTTACTGTCATGAAATCTGATTTAAACATTTGGTTTTACTTGAATGACTCATGTGTTTATTTATGATGTATTGTAATTGTGTCCAGGCTCTAGAGGAGGCTCTTCAGACGACTGCACCTCAGGGAGGAAGCAGTGAAACAACCCAGGACCTGTGGAAACATCAGGTGAGACGACCTCCTCCTGCTCCTGTTGTCTTTAAGGAATAATTTGACGTGTTGGAGTTGGATGAGAAGATCGCAGCCAGTCCTGCCTGTTTGTAAAATATGAGACCGTTGCATCATATTTAACACAGCAACACTCTTACTGGGAAACAGCGCCCTCTGCAGCCATACATGGGGATTCATTCTATGAGTTTGTATTGGTCACCGCCGTAAACATATTGGTCACCGCCTCAATCACATTGAGTATATTTGGGGGGGTGAAGACAACAACTCCCATGATCCCACGCTGCTTTAAAACTACCTCAAACTCTAGGTCTGTTGATCTGATTGAGAGCGCCCTAGTGGCTGAGGTTATATAATATTGTACAGTTAAAAATAATTTTAAAGCTGATATTTAACGGGGAATCAATCTTGTCATCCAACAACACAGCCAGTGAGGGCTACGCTCTTCCACAGTATTCTTATCTCATGTTTTCTTGTCGTGTGTTTCTAGGCTGAGGTTTACAGGGAAGACTTTCTGACGGAGCGGAAGGACAGAGAGAAGCTGAAAGAAAAATATCTGGAGCTGGAGAATCGGTTTAGAAAAGTTCGCACTGAGCTGCGTGTCCTTAAATCTCAGGTACAACATTTTCTTTTTTCAGTTTACGTGCTTCTATATTGTCATGTTTGACACTACAAATATAGAAGAAAGGCAAAAAGACGTTAATATAGTTTCTCTGTTTGTTTCACAGGTGACTTGGAGTCCGCCACTGCAGCCTGTTCTTGAACGCGTCTGCTCAAATCGAGTCATATGTCCAAACCAGCCCCTGAACCAGAAGCACGTGCAGATTCAAAGGCGACAGCTATCTTGAAAAAGACTTGACTCTTTTTGTGTGATCACGTTTTTCTGCACTTTAAGGGGGAGGATGGCTGAGAATGTGGGAGTTTACCCATAATGGCATCATGATGACGCCTGTTCACCAGTCTGGGGATTCATTCTGTGATCTGTTTGGTGAAGGAGGAAATAAAAAATTTCCCAAGAGGAGAAATAGCAGCAGAGAGCAATATAAACTCCTCAGAGCGTGAGAAGTCAGTTACACATTGGCTCTGTTGTGTAACAAATAAGGAGGAAGTTCCCAAGGTGCAGCAGTTGAAGTGTTTATTTACAAAGAAAACTAACTTCAAGTAAACATGGTAATCAGTGGTGTCTCGAATGTATAAACCCTGAGTTTACACAGTTCCTCCTCCTTTTGAGACACGTCCTCAGGGAGATATCAGTTATTGCACAAACCAAACACTATTGACAAGGATGTTCACACACACACACACACACAGCTGTGAAAAGTGAAAGTAATTTAAGTATATGCAAAGTATTCACCTGGGTTGTGTTTCCAGCCAGTTCCTGTTTATCCATGTTGATTCAGTATTAGTACATTTGCACCTGAAATGAAATGGTCAGAGAAGAATAAATTACTTTGACGGTTTATTTATGAACGTTTGAATGGATTTTTTGTGTCGTCACATTTCTTAACGTCTCCTTGTTTATTTATCATGAATATAAATCATTCCACGACACGTGTGTTGAGTCTTTTGTTGAAGCTGAGGACAGACAGAGTAAATAGGAGAATAGCAGGACCTCGCTCTTGTTCATGGTGACCCCCACTGTCAGTGTGAAAGATTTTTTGAAGACTTTCTTATGTGATCCATGAAGTCCCAGATACGTTTGACATATTTGTGTGATGGTTCCTCACATTTTAACAAATGTCACCTGACTTCAAAGCTGCATGTAGAAATCTCTACTGACCTCTACTGGTGGAGCACATGTGCTGCAGCTGATTTACATGGAATATGAGGTTTCCAAAAAGAGCAAGCGAGTACTCACATTTTCACGTCACTCCCTCCCTGTAAAGACCCCAGTGGTGTTTGAGCCAACAAAATGTCTATCGACTCCTCTGCTCCCTCCCTGTCCTGTAATGTCCTCACACAGTGGACGTTTTTAAAGTCACTCCAGGTCCAGAGTTCTCTGAATCGCAGGAGCACAAAATGTTTTCCCAGCAGCATTTAGGAGGAAAGTGATTGGGGGCAGCTGTTTCTGTTTCTAAGTCAGATTACAAACATTTCAACCAACAGCATGAAAGCAGGAAGCACCTTTCCCTCCTTGAGCTCACCGACCTTTGACACTTGAGTCCTTAAAGGGGAACACAACCTTTTACAAAGACACACATGGTTTTAATAGATGCTGTTTTGTAACATGTGCAGATCACAGACTGTGAATAAAAAAGGACGAGGGGTCTCCACTTCCTCCTGTTTAACAAAAATCAAGCTAAACTATAACTTTTAACGTCATCAAAACCAAACTTACCAGCAACGCTTGATGATAAGAACTTCCAAAAAGACAGAAAATTCTATTTTAAAAATAGGCTACTTTGACTTTTCATCCTGGACGACGTCCCATTCATTAACATGGAGGAGGCAGAGCCAAGCCACCAGGGAATGATTTGGCTTCACTTTTGTCGTCCATCTTAATGTACAAATTTAGATATTTTAAGACGACAGATGATTAAATAAAAACACAGTTGTGGAGGCAGATTGTCAGAAAAGTTTTATTGGCACAGTTATAGCAGCAACGTGTCCTTGTTTATTTTCAGTAATGGTCCCATAACAGGTTGTTGTTTTTCTGCTAGTTTGATTAATAGAAATAGCACTGATGAAATCTGAAATATGACTCAGTTGAAGTGATTGTCAGAACGATCATGTAAAGTGCATCTGCACGAAACATAATGAAAGTGAGACTGAGTATATGCGAAATCCCCGGGGGCCTCATTTATGCAACAGTGCGTAGGATCCACCAGTTTTACAAAAACAGTGACGGCAATGTTCCCTTTAAAAATCACAGTCCACCTGGAAACATGGATCAGCCTCATGCCCCGCCCTCGTCGTCGCCACTTTCCTGTTCACTCATTCTCAAGTTTGTGTTTCTAGATCCCAACTTTTGCGTTTTGGTTATAAATGAGGCCCCAGATCTGCTCTGTCGCTACATTCTTAGTGGTTTAGTCTGCAGGTACTTGCAGTTCATAAATAGATGCATTAATGTTTGGTTATGATTATGATTCAAGGTTTTTAAGGTGATGATGAGCTTTAAAATAAAACATTACAATGTTTTTAATGGTAACACGACTGTACCCAGTGCTCAGTGTTGCATGTTGTTACACTGCAAATGGTGATGGAGACAAAAACAAGTAATATATTGAAATACTGCACGTCTCTGCCTTTTTACAGATAAATATGTTAAATACATTCTATGACGTATTTTCAAAGAACAGCATTAACAGCCACTAAGCGCATTTAAAAAAAGACAATTTCTGGCCAGTATTGCACCCCCAGTTTTCCACCAGTTCTGACACGTCAGTCTGAACTCTGCCAACACCATAGCAGGAATATTAAAACATCCACTTGTCAGAGGAGCCGTCCAAGAGCTGCCTGCCTCAGTAGAAAGCAGGGTTTGTGTGCTCGATGACACAGCGGCGGCAGTGTCGCCTGACAAACCGCAGGGCCTCCGGCGACACCTCGCAGTCCTGCACGTTCAGGAGCTGCAGCTCGCAGCAGTTGGCCGCCAGAGCTTTGAGTCCTCGGCCTGTTACGCTCTCGCAGGCTCTGAGACTCACTCGCCTCAGGCCTTGGCAGTACATCGCCAGCTGCTCCAGCCCGCTGTCTGACACCAGCGGGCATTTACCCACATCCAGGGACTTGAGTTTGGGGCAGCTCCTGGACAAGTGGCTGAGGCCATGGTCTGTCAGCCCCTCGCAACCCCTCGCGTTCAAGTAGCGCAGTCTCGGGCAGTAGCGAGCCACGTAGCGCATACCCACATCCGTGATGCGGGTACAGTGGGCTATGCTCAGGTAGCGCAGGCAGCCCTCCAGTCGGGCGACTTCGCGCAGGCCGAAATCCCCCACCAAGCGGCAGTCACTGAGGCTGAGCTCCCGTATTGACGGGCAGTGGAGAGCCAGGTGGCGCAAGGCTTCATCCGTCAGTCTGGTGCAGCGGCGCAAATACAGATGCGTCAGGCGGGGGCAGTGGGAGGCGATAGTTCGCAAGCCCTCGTCCTCGAGGGAGAAGCAGTCGGTCATGTCCAGGTAGTGGATGGAAATCTGCTGGCCGTGCAAAGGAGACAGCTGGAGCGAGGCCTCCTGGGTAAGACTGATGCATGTCACCTTGGAGCAGCCTGCATGAAGAGGAAGGAAGGAGAGGTCGTCAGCTCTGAATGATTTTTAAATTATTTTTTGCGATGTAGATTAAACTAACACTGAAACCGATTCTGATTGCTCGTTCTCACAAACCACTGATATATCATAGCTATCATAGATATTTTCAGAAACATGTGTTGATGGGGGCAGAATCCACAGCTCTTATTCTCCAGATGTTGAGGAGCATAAATTGAGGATTAGTAATAACTAATATTAATATCTTCTTTCACACAGTTGACTCCTGAGATTAGCTCCAGACAAACCTCAGAAAAAGTTTTGTAGCTTCAACTTAACTTTCACCGTGGACCCACTGCCCTTTACTCTCATTAGCATCTTAGTTAAGTGATTAACCACTAGAGGGCGCCACAGTAAAACCTGCTGCATTTGGCCTCATGCCTGTAACTATAAGAATGAAAATGTTTTGACAACACTGAAACACTGATCAGTTTTCTGGATGGAAATCAACACTGGCCTCATCAATGCTCAAAAAATATGATGGTTTGATTTAATTACTTTTGGCTTTTCAAATTAAAACCACAAACTTTTAAAAGGCCACTTTTAGCATCAAAGTCCAAAAGACTTCCTGATGCTAATGCAACAGACGTTGCTCTGCCACCGCGGTTCTGTCCAGGTCCATGTTATTTGTGTCACTTCCTTAATGAAAGCAGCAGAAACCAGCTCTTTCACTCATGTTGAGCTAAAGAAAAGTCTTTCTTCTCCCACATGGAAGCTGGAGGTTGGCAGAGCTCCTCCTGCTCCTCTGATGATTTTACCAGCTTCAGGAGAAAAGACGGAGAAGGACTCAGAGGAGGAATTCTTGAGGTAAATCCACACGTGCATGATGTGAGGTAGGAATAAAACTGAACAAGCCTTCGGCGAATAATTGAGGTGAGATGGTTTTGATTGAGGACGTTTTCTCACGTGAACATCTGAACCAAGCTTCACGTCTTTGTTCCAGTGTTCACATTTGATCTGGTTAGTTTTGGCTCGCAGCAGACACACTCTCAGTCTAAATCTTATTGAATATGATCAGTAAGAACATTTTTACCTGAGAGGTTCAGGTGTTCCAGGTTCGGGCAGCGGGACACCACCTCAAACACAGCGTCATTAGAGATGTTATAACAGCCGGCGACCTCCAGGCGGCGCAGCTCCGGGCAGCACTGAGCCACCACGTGCAGCCCCCGATCTGTGAGCCTCTTGCAGCCGCTCACCACCACCGTCTCCAGGGTCAGACACACGTTGGGCGTGTCCTGGCACAGCCGGCGGGTCAGGACCCTGATGGCGCGGTCGGCGTGGAGCAGCTCCCCCGTCAGCCGCACGGTGCCCCACAGCCTCGGGTCCCACGCCAGGTTGTACCAGCGGCGGCACACGCGTGCACAGCGACACAGCTGGTTGGTGGGGAGATGGGAGAAGATCTGCAGGAGGGCGTGGTCGGGGAGGAGGTCGATGGGGGCGTGGTGATGGGTTTTCGACTGGCGGGAGCGAGTGTGGGTGCCGGGCTGAGAGTGAACCACGGCCACCGTCTCTGCAGGGGCGGAGGAGGAGGAGGAGGAGTTGGTCTCATTGCCGTTGCTGGAGAGGGCGGGAGAGGAGAGCGAGGAGGACTTGGAAGGCAGAATCAGACCTGGGCTGGGCGTGCTCAGAGTCCTCGTGCTGGAGTCTAGACCTGAAGAACAGACGCGAAGAGAAAGAGACAAAGAGAGTTAGTGTCTGAAGAGTTTCTCAGACTTTCTTCATATTAATCACTTTGTTTTTAACTTTTTTGAAAGTACAGTGATTCCTTATTGCCTCCTCGTCTGTTGATCTGTGAAATTGCTTACAAATAGAATTAATGTTTCAAAAATCAGACGGCGTGTTTAAAACAGTCGCCAGTGTCTATTTGTCATTTGCATCTTTTTTATCCTGACCTTTTCCAATATGATTTCTAAACAGCATCAAACCAGCGTTAAGACTTTCACTCTGATGTCTGATACTTTATCACATTAACTGGTGCAAATACTGAGAAATCCATTTTCCAAATCCGGCAAATTAAAAGCCAGCCACCGTCAGCGTCGTCATATTTCCACTTCTGCTAAAAGGAAAAATCCTGCCTCACATACATTATTTAAGATCATCAGTCTGTGACATTTAGTACATTCCAACAATAATGTCACAGTGAACAGGCCACAGCGATCTAACCTTGTTCTTCTTGTACTTTTCTCAAGCCTGACTCATGCACTTATATTTCCACAAGCAATTTCCTCCACTTCTCAGAACAACTTGTGACAACTGTAAACAGTCCTGCTGTGACTGTACTGTAACCTGCGGTGGAGAGAACAGCGAAAACCCAGAGACTAAGTGTTTCCATGCAAGGAGAAGGAGCTGAGCATCTTAAAGAGACACTCTGGTGATGGAGTTTTGAATTTCAGAAAAACAAACTGAAAAATTAAAGAAAATTCGACTTCTGGACGAGGCAAAGTTTCTCAACGTGCTTTATATTCAAGTGCATTGAGCAACAGATGACATGTGATAAATAATCTCATGCTCACACAGAAAAATCACAGGATGCGACACTTCCCATGACACGACGTACAGCTTCCTGTCATTAGACTGAGATAATGTGATTTAGTTGAGAATCATCAGAGCTCCCACACAACCACAGACCACAGGAAACCACTGAGAGAAAGCACAGGTTCCTTAACTCTTCACTTAGTGTCGCATTTCTAAAAACGCATTTTCAAGAAACAGAAAATAATCATTTTTTTATTCCTTAAAAATCGGAACGTCCATTAACGGAAACCTTTTACAGTAATAACACAAATTAAAGTTATCAATCCCAATATGAGCACATTTCGTCTGAGGGCTTGGTTAGGGAAGCCACTCTCTGTTGATCCATTCCTCCTTTTTTTCTGGATTTCCTTCTGTTCAAACTTGACTTTTACAATTGCTATTTGAGAGTAATTCAATCTTTCACTGTATCTGTGCCAGACAAGACACAGTATCACATTATAATTGACAGATCAAGAAAAATAAACGAAAAGGCCACAACATTCCTCACGATGGAGCCACACCAGCTTTGATCAGTTTCCACGGGTGTCGTTATCGTGTTTTGGGATAAATGTGTCACGTTTATCTCCGGAACGTTTGGGCAGCAGTGACGGGGCCTCTTCAAAGCCGAGGATCTCGGTGCCGGGGCTAACATTGTACTGTCAGTCCTGTGTAAACACTGAGGCCCTCCTGACAGATGTGCTCTGATTGCCGCCGCAGCTGAAGATGCAGCTGCGAGAGGCGATGGCTGGATCCCATCAATGTGGCGTGAGACGATGGCGGCAGAGGCGTTGGATCTGATTCGACCCATCGCCCTGGGACGCTGAGTGCTCTCCTCTGATGCTATCTGCCTCCTTAATACCCAGCAACCCCAGCTTGACATGCCGCTAAAAGCATTTCAAGGACTCACGGTGAGGAATCGTTACATCTGTTGAGGGAACTTGTGAGTCATATGTCAGCTAGAAGTTTGCTACCTGTAATTCCCATTAGTTTAAGCTCAATTATCACTTTCCCTACATGAACCCACATTTCTAGTTCCAGTCGTGTAGACCGAACCGTGACTGAATAACGTTAACTAAAGGAGACAGTCAGCTGCTTCCACGGTGTGTGTCAACATCTGCATGACAAATGAACAGCATCCTGCCCGTCATGTGGATTTGTGTGCTGAGACGAGAGGGTGACACCGTCCTCATGGCCACGCGGCGGATCTCTATTCCAGACCCTTCGGCTCGGTGCGCCTCCCGACTCGCCACTGATGACATCCGCAGGCTCGTCCTCTCTCTCGGGAACATGTCCTCCGAATCACAGGTACTTTAAAACTGCCTCCTGTGTGCCTTAAAAGTCTCACTCGCATCCAAGCTCCAGCAAGAAATAAGGAGTAGCACCATCTAGAATAAATTAATCTGCAGCAAACACAAGGTTTATCGTTCCTACGGGACGTCAGTTTGGTTTATTGCATCACATTCTCGTGGGTGGTCCGTCTGTATAGATGTGTTGGATTATTTCTTTGAGGTTGTTGAGCTTATCTTGGCATCTCCTTTGGATCTTTCAATGATAACATAATTTCCTTTTTTTAGCTTAATACAAGTTTAATGATCTGAGGTCCTATAAACACCTCATCTACGTCAGGTTTCACACACCTGTACAAATATGTTGTGGCAGTCGTGCTTCTTTGGTTTTTGTGTTTATTCAAGTCCATTATAAATGCTGCAAGATTCCTGAATCAATACCTCAACACATTGTGGATTCATTCAACATGACTAAACTCTCAAGTATCTAATTTTTCACATCTGGTCTACGTAAGTACATTTTTATGGCTCCATGCCGGTGTGTTTTCAGGTGGACCCTCCCATTTTTGTGAACAAAATATGTCAAGAATGCAATGAGGTTATTTCTTCAAATTTGATTCTTCAGATCTGATTCAAATCTGGTGGTTATAAAAGTCGAAATTCGCTTGTGACCTCACAAAGTTCTTTTTTTGCCTTTTGAACACGATATGTGAAGAATGCCTTGAGGGAATTTCTTCAAATTTGGTAGAAATATTCACTTGTACTCGTGTATACATTGATTAGAATTGTGTGGTGAAAGGTCGCAGGTCAAGGTCATTGTGAACAGTGGTCACGGGTCAAAGGTTAAAGTCAAGGTCCCAGTGGCCTCATGAGTTTCTCGTGTTGGAAACATCCAACTGCAAAGTGGTAATTCTATCTTTTTTGAATTAAATAACAAGAAAATTAATGAAGGGTTCATATGTATGGCTAAAAATCCAAAGTCTGGGATCAATCCTGTGGCATCACAACAAAAAGTCTCCACAAAAATCTCATCATGCAGCCAGAATCAGATTTTCCACGGACACATTTCTCGAGTCATTAGGTTTGATAGATGTTTGAGGCTCAGCTTCATTATGTACGTCCGAGATAATATGAAGGATTCTGCGTGCAGGAAGAAGAACCGTCTGCCACTGAATAAGGAGCAACTTCCAAACTGCATCATCACATGTGTCGCTGATCAGAAAAGGGCTCTGAGCCTGGAGAAACACAGCGCTACCAGACAAACTGCACCCCCCCCCCCCCGTTTGTACCCAGACACACTTTCACACAGCTGGTGGGGAAAGTTAAATGCAGACAGATTTACAGTTGCTGTGTTGCACCAGGTTTTGGATCGATAGCAACAGGAACTTTAATGACGTCCAGGTGTCATCTATATGTTTTCTGGCTGCATGTGTTTATTCATTCACTGACAACTGCTGAGCAACGATGAAGTTGTTGACAATGATCTTATGACCAAAATATTCACATTTTTCGCACTTTGTAACTTCTTGGAGATGAACATTATGGTTTTTACATCTGTCGAGCAGACACAAACTAATAGTTATCAGCAGACTGATATCTATTAGTTTGTGCAATTTGGTGCAGCTTGATTGAATTTATGGGCCTTGGCAAAGGTATGCACTCTACTATGTGCCATTCTAGTTAAATAGCTGTGGTATTACGACATTTAAGAAAAGCGTTATTATCCAGGAAATCCAAGAAACTAAAACTTCGAGACAGACGGACAAATGATGGGGAATTCATAAATATAAGCAGACAAACTGACACGGGACCAGGAGTATAAATAAAGTTGAACACAGGTGAATCACATGAGGACAAGCGCAGACAATCTCAAAAGTCTTTCAGGGGTTCTACAGGGATCATGAATCATCACAGTTTATCAGATGCAAAAAGTATATTCTTGGCTCAGATGGTTAAAATCCTCAAATCCACCCCAAATAATTAAGATACAATCAAGATATACATCCTTCGAGCACTATTACCACTTTAATCGTAAGACTGCAGATCCCCTAAAACATCAAACATAACTTGTGAACCGTTAAAGTTTACTCTTGACCTTAAAACCATCGAGGTCCAATTCCCAAACTTTTAATGTAACTTTTAACTGCCACATGTACGAAGCCCTGAAGTCGGAATTGTAACATTAAAAAAGCTTAATAATGAACTGTGGGATTAATTTATAAACCAACATGGAAGAAGAGTCCTAGAGGTGCTGTGAATAAAATCATAAAAGCTACTAAGCCTGGATTTCTCCATAGCAACGATAAGCCAACCTCATCCACTAATAAGGACCACATGATGTGACCGAAAGCTCCAGAAAAAGCTAGTAAATGGACTTTTGGGGTGAGATCGCTGGGAATTATCTGCGTTTACCTGCCGCTCTAAACTCTAAGCATGAAAAAATAAACTTTTCTTAAGCAGAAGTGCTGTGTTTTATACCCCTGCATCACTACAAACCTATCATTAACAGAACAAATACCGTACAGCTGTTAAACTCCTCTTGAAGCCACTGTGAGTGCAGATGGTGGAGGACTCAGCTCGGTTTAGGAAATCAGAGGAGAAACAGTGGAACATCTGGTCTTTACCCCGGACAAAGAACAACGGAGCGGTGGTGAAATGAAAGAGAAACTCATGCATTTTGAATGTGCATGTAGCCACAGCAAGGCATACTTGGCTGAAATCATTTGCCACTAATACCCGAATCTGAGCTGATCCGCAGCCGCGCCGCAGCAGGATCCCATTAACATCGACTTCTGAGACACATCTGGGCCGTGCTTTGATACCAGAGGTTTAATGTAAATCAATCGGAGTG